TTTAGGAAAAAAAATCTTTGCATGAAGAGTCTCTAAGGGATAATGAAAAACACTTGGTAAAATTTTAATGAGTGCTTGCATTTTCTTCACCAACTGTGCTCAGATAACAATAGCCATCCTGCTTTCAACTTTTCCTTTTAAAAATTGTTCTTGGGAAATTTTTGCCAATGTCTTTGCTGAATTTTTCATGGGTTCGCTCATCCCTCCATACAGGTTGGCTTGCTTTAAAACCATTTAAAATAATAACAACAAAATGTAGTGTTGATGGTCTTGGAGGAATTGTGCAATTTTGTCATGTTTTGCTATCTCCCAAGGCATGTGAGATGAAACATAAATAATATTTATTTTGACAGATTTAGTCCAGGAGAGATGAGAGAAAAGAAGAAATTTTATAACCAGATATTTATAATGACATAGAGCAAGTTCTGCAGACCATTTAGGTGCCCATAGTTATTAAAAGATGTGTACTAAGGGTTTAAAGGAACACCAGAAAATGTAACATGGTTGGAATGAAAGCATGCTTGCCAACATGCATCTCACTGAGGCTATCTTAGAAAGATATCATAGACACTTGGCCTGGACCTCTATGGGTAATTGAATATATTTCCATATGATAAAATCCAATTGTTAAAAAAAAAAAAGAAGAAGGAGGAGGAGGAGGAGGAGGAGGAGTTTATATTTAGATGAGGGATATGCATCAGTGGCAGGGAGGGAGCTACAGACATCCCATTAGAAGAGATAATCCTTTTTGACTGAGAGCGGAGTGACTCTTTTCCCAATGGAACTTGCAACCTGCAATTTTTAGAAGTGCTTGTTAAGATGTTGTTGATGATATTGTTGTTTTAAAAACTCCACAATCAATTAGTTAGTCACACCTTTTGGTTGATGGGAAATGTCTTTCATCATTAGAGTCCTAGGGTGTAACCTCACCACTTGGTTAGCAAGCTAGGCTCGCATCTGTATAATGTATGTGAGAGACAGCGTGGTGTAGAGGAGTGGACATTGGACTACAACTCAGGGTTCGATTCCCCACTTGGCCATAAAACCTACTGGGTGACCTTGGGTGAGTCATATACTCTCATCCCCAGGAAATCCCAGGATAGATCTATCTTAGGGTCACCATAAGTTGGAAACAACCTAAAGGCACACAACCACAAATACATGATATGGAATGGATGGATCTTTTGTTCATGATAGTACCAATATGAAGATAATTCATATTAATAATTATAGCAGTGAACACTGAGAATCAAGAAGGCATGTGTAATGGATCCCTTCTGAAGGCATGTGTTTGAAGGACAAAGCCATGAAAAAATCAAATGGTCTTACTGACCATTTGGAAAGCTTGTATTTTAGGGTTGAATAGAACATCTAGGAAAGAGGTGCCACAAGGGAGTACCACAAGAAACGTTTTCTGTACCTGCTAGTGCAATGGTTCCCAAACTTTGATCCTCCAAGTGTTTTGGACTTCAGTGCTCAGAAGCCCCAGCCAGCTTGGCCAAGAGTCAGGAATTCTGGGAGCTGAAGTGAGAAACATCTGAAAGACCAAAGTTTGGAAATCACTGTGTTAGTGGGACATTCTCAATGGAAAGAGCATCAGAGTTCATCTGTCCTTCCATTCTTCTGTCTGAGGCAGTCACTGCACACAGCCCTATCAAAGCCTTTTCCTTAAAAATAAAAAAAAAGTTGTCACTTAATGATGGAAGGACAGCAAGGAAGGGACCATTTCTTTCTGGTCTTTCTTTTCTAACCCTTCATTCTTACGGCTTTAAGCCACCTGTTGAACTAGCTGCAAGCAAAGTGACTTCAGACATACAGCTAACACCTGTCTAGTTAAACTTTCTAACTTTCTCCAGGCATTTTGGATGGGACCTTTCTGCCCACTCCATCTGGTGTGTTTTCTGACTGCTGTTTGACTACCGAGCAATGCAATCGCTGCTGGCGTGACCTTGTATCCCCTGCGGTGATAGCACACCTGTTGGGAACATCTGCTCCCTCACAATGTGGAAGATTTAATACAGCCAAGCAGGGATTTGAACAGCATGTGTTGATACTGTGTAGGCGGCATTGCTACAGCCTCATCTTGTGCACCCATTCCAGGAAGACACCTGTGTCATAGCTGTCTCCTTTGCTGGCTGGGTTGTCTAAAGCAGAGGGAAATGGCTGAGAAATACTGATGTGAAGTTAGCAGCGGATGTGGAATCTTGAACATCTGGAGGGAAGGGAGTTGTGAGAAAACAGAGGAGGAGACTTGGGGAAAATATGTTATGGTGGAGTAGGGTGGCTGAGAAGTTCACTATCACTGGTTGTAGTGGCAGCCACTACTTTAGAGGGAGATAAAGGAAGATTAGATTCTAATAACAAGAACATTGAAATAGTCAGAGTTCCCATACGACATGTGAAAAAATTGCATTTCTAAATAAATTGTTAGAATGGAAAATGTTGCCCAGAGATTTGAATGACTCTTAGAGGAAGCACTCTCTTCCATTGCTGTTGTTCTTGTTGTTAGCAAGATTGACTTCTGTGACGGATAGTGAAAAGTGTTTGAGCACTGTTGGGTTGTGTATTATATATGCATCGGATGAAAATCTCAATTGCAGTTCCACTCTTCTCTGGATTGGCAAACCCTAGGAACCTGATTTCCCAGATCTCTGTTGTTCAGGTTTTGTCTTCTTATTAAAACTTGGAGGGGGGGGGTTATCAAAATGGTGGAATATTTTCTGCAATTCTCTCAAGGAAATAAACCTGCTGTTGGGGAGGAAATATTTTTCCTGTTAGAGTTCTTTTTGTATTTTCCCCTTAAATTCTAAGAGGTGCCTGGAGTGGTTTCAGCCCTTTGTAGTTGTGATATGTGGCACAGGAATGATGCTGGTGCAAATGGCTTCTGTTTGTACCCAGGAGGCTCTGGGGGGGTGAGTTTTACAACACTTCGCAATGCTTCTCTGAAGCTTTTTGCACTTTTTTGAAGTCTGTGTTTTCCCCAAAGTTTCTCATACTCCATTCCTTGTGGACATCCTCTTTTCTAGTTTCTCCTCATTAAAACAGCTTGAAGACTACTATTGTATCCTCAAAAGAAAGAGTTCACCTCTTCTGTTTTCTCTCCTTTCATTTCTTATTTTTAATTTTTTAGATTCAGAGAACATTCAGAATATGAAATGCCCCCCACCCCATACTTTTATAGCAGCATTGGCCATTTTTAATTGACGTTTCCCACAGCATTACATCTCTCCTGATTGATCTCCCTTGAATAGATGATCCAGAAGTCTTTGTTAAGAAAGGATATTGTAAATGGATACTGAATTTCAATTAATGGATCCCTTCTGTTGGCTATTTTTTTTTTAAAAAAAATCTGTTTTATTTGTTATTTCAATTTATTCCCTCCTCTTTTGCATATGGCAACCAAGAGTGCTGGAGGATGAGAAGATGGAGGTGGTAGTAACAGTAAGAATGGATGGCTGCAACAATTTAATGGCAATAACCACTAAACTGAAATGCACATGGTAGCTGCACTAACTCATAAGAAGAGTTCTAAAATCAGTTTGTTGTTGTTGTTGTTGTTAACTGCCCTTAAGTTGATCCCATGAGTTGACCCCATAAATGAGACATCTCCAAGTCCTCCTGTCCTCAACTGCTCTGCTCAGGTCTTGCAGGCTGAGGTCCTGCCCTTTTTCTTTCCTATCATCTTTTCTAGTGAGTCATCTCTTAACATGATGTGGCTGAAACTTGACAACTTCAGTTTCGTCATTTTGGCTTCCAGGGAAAACTCAGGCTTAATCTGTTCTAGGACCCATTTGTTTGTCTTCTTGACCCACCATAGTGTCTTCAACACTTTTCTTCAGCACCACATCTCAAATTTTCTTTCTATCCACTTTCTTCACCATCCAGGTCTCACATCTGTACATGGTGACAGGAAATACGCTGGCTTGGATGATCCTAACTTTGCTATTCAGTTTAATATCATTACACTTTAAGATCTTGTCTAGTTCTTTCATAGCTGCTCTTCCCAGTCAGTAGAATAATATCTTTCTTAGATGAAAATGACATGTTTCAGGTTAATGAGAAATCTCAGAGAGTTCTCCAGCATTCTTGGTCAGATTAGATGTTAAGTAGACATGGTGAGAATGTGGTAACATTAACTTTCCAGCTGCTGCCTTGGCTCTAGACTTATGGTTTAGTGTGGGAAGAGAGGAAAGATGACACACTTTCTTGCATCAGACTCTCTTAGGTGATAGACAAGTTACAGGTTATAACTAGAGATGTTGGAAGAAACATACACAAATGTTGACCCCCTCTTTAAATAATATGAAAGCCTGCAATTATCCCAGCATGTGGGAAGCAGCTTTCAAGATAATGGTTGGTGTTATGGGATCCGAGCCCAGAAAATAATTGTATCAAATACAATGCAATGTTGTTGTGTGCCTTCAAGTCATTTCCGGCTTATGACAACCCCAAAAGTAAACCTAACTCAGGGTTTTCTTGGCAAGATTTGTTCAGAGGGGGTTTGCCATTGCCTTCCTATGAGGCTGAAAGAGTGTGACTTGTCCAAGGTCACCTAATGGGTTTTCATGGCTGAGAAGGGATCTCAGAGTTGTACTTTGATGCTCAAACCACTAGACCACAGTGCCTCTTACAAGAATATATTGATCACATAAAACAAAATTAATTAGTCCATGATTGGTGGGAGCCAGAGCGATCTAATGATTAGAGCAAAGGTGAACAATGTATGGCCCTAAACATGTTACTGGACTTCAGTTCCCATCAGCTCTAATTAGCAATAAGGATGATTGGGACTTTAGTCCAGCAAAATCATGAGCTGCCTTGAGTCCCATTCTTGAGAGAAAGGCCAAAGGGTTGGTTGATTAATTGGATGGATGGATGGATGAATGGTGACCTCATTGGATACAGCGTTGAAGTGCAGTGATTGAAACCTGGGTTCAGATCTTCTCTGGGCAACATTTGATCAGGAACTTTTGCTCTCATATAAGCCCACTGCACAGAGAGGCAGTGTGGTGCAATGGTCTGAGCATTACACTACAACTCAGGAAACCAGGGTTTGATTCCCAGCTCAGCCATGAAGCCCATTGGGTGACCTTGGGGAAACGTCATGAACATGGGTTTCATCCCCCAAAAGCAAAAACAGCAACTCCAGAGGTTGATGTAATTTTTGTTGGGAAGACAGCCTATTCAGGGTCTTGCACAGCTTCTGGGTAAGTGAGAAAGGAAGGTGACACCCTTACTTGGTCACCCAGCAACTGTGAAAGTCCCACTTGGAATACCACCCTCCAGTGTACATCTCCTTCTTGGATGTCACCCAGTGTGATCCATACCCCTTGCACCCCCCTGGTGACGCTCCTGCCCTTAACAACTGGTGGGTGGCTAAGAAAGGGCAAATTACACTTGCAGACTTCAACCAGCTTATGCCAAGATTCTGCACCCCTGCAAAACATGGAAGTGAGAATTTGGATCAGGGATAAAACTGTGCCTCCTTTGTTTTTACCTTTCTGTCCATTTCCTGAGTGGAGCTCTAAAGGGCAAACTAATTAAACTAGACAGGTTGTTAAATGTGCAATTTAATCATATGCAAGAATGGGAGGAAGAATTGAAGGAACACAGACCAAAGGCACCATCTAAGTTATATTAACATTTCCTCAACTGGAGACAAGAAGTTAGTTTTCTTTAAAAAAGAAAGAAAGAAAGAAACAATTTCTTTTAATGAATGTGGAATGTGCAGTGAAGCTGCATTAATTTGCAATAATGATCAAGAGATCCATTGAGATTAACTGCATTTATGTAAATTACTGAGGAAGCAAATAAACACTGTCATCATAATTATTATTGTGTTTTTCCCCCTGAAAAAGCAAACCGTAAAGGTTCTGCCACAGCAAATGTTACTTATGCTCATGGATTGGGCACCTATTTAGTAAAAAATTATTTATCAGACCACTTCTATTACTAAGAATTATGTTGCCTAAATGCCCTAAAAGCACCAGATCCTGCCCAATCTTGGAAGTGGAGTAGGGTCAGCTCTGGTTCGTACTTGGATGAATACCAGGTGCTGTCAACTATATTTCAGAGGGAAGAACTGGCAAAACCATCTCTGAGTATTCCTTGCCTAAGAATACCCTGTAATATTCATAGGGTCATCATAGTCAGCAGGTGACAGACACAACATATACAGATTTCGGTAAATAACAAAACTTTGGGAAAAGGAGGAAATCTTGATTGAGTACATAGAGGGAGAGGCCAGTCTGGCCCATTTGGACCCATGAGTGTGTTCACATGATATGGCAAGCTGTGGATACATGGGAACCCCGGTTTGTCATGGATGAGCAGCATGTCCCATATTGCTCTGGTACTTAATGATGCAAGTGATTAACTGATTGCTCCACTGTTGGTTTATTGCTGGGCTGACAATCACGTGGCCCTCCAGATATTGTTGGACTACAGCTGCCAGCATGTCTCATCAGTAGGTAAGCTTGCTAAGGCTGTAGTCCAAAAACATCTGGGGGGCACACTTTTCCCACTCATAATTTATTTTATTACCTTGTCTGTCAGCAGGCAGCTTTCCTTCCCTGGTTCACTCCTTCCCAACAGACACATCTTTGGCTTCTTTCAATGGTTTGTTTGGAGGTCACAAATCAGCACCTTGTACATCCATGCAAAGCCAAGACATCCTTGGATCTACTGGAAGCTGGCAGCTTCTGTGTCTGTTGGACAGTAAATCCACTCTGGTTTTTAACCTAGTGTGCTATCCAAGGTGCTGAAACCTATATCCGAGGTAGGTTCAGCACCCTGGTCAGTTCCTTTAAAAAATGGAATGGATTTGTTGATCCATTGATTTGGAAAAGACTCTCTACTATTCCCTGAGCCTCCAGGCTGGATATGTTCTGAGAATGCAGTCATAATCAGTGATAATATATTTTAGTAAAATAGCATTAAGGTTAGATAGCCCCATTGAAATCAGAGGACAAATGAAGTTTCAGAATGTAAAGTGACCAGAAATAAATTATTATCTGGAAGAGAACTACCTTTCCCCTCTTATCTCTACCAGCCTTGGTGCTGTTAATTCACCAGTAAGCCATGCAAACAATGAGCATCATTTTGAAGAATGAGGCTGGCAAGGAGAGTTTTGTAGGACAGAGGATGCTTGGTATTTGAGCCACATTGAAATACACATTTCTTTGACCTCTATGTCACTTCTTTTGAAGTGGGCTCTTACAAGTCCCTGAACCTATCCTATATTCAAGTCTGACATTGGAGAATATGATTGGATTCTAAGAAGTCAAAATTTAACCACATGGTGGAGATGAGGAAGCAGGAAAGGAACGTTGTGGGAACCTTCAGATGCTGCAGAAGCAATTCCACATCACCCTCTGGAAATCCAGGTTAAACAGCATTCATTGCCTGGACTGACTTTTGTGTGTTCAGGTGAGAAAGGTGGCTAAAATAAGGAATTGCAATTGCTGCTCTGTGACCTGGATTAGTCAGATCCCACATGATCAGGACACAGCATCTTGGCTGGGCTTTCATTGAAAGAATCTCTTACTTATTTCCCTGCACTGGATAGCTGGAAGGTTTTTGGGGGGAGTGGCAGGGAATCAGAAAATTATTCTGAGATCAAAAAGGGCACATTCACAGAGTAAATTGCCATTGAGCAAACATCTGAGGCTGCTGCTACACTGCAGAAATAAAGCAGTTTGACACCACTTCAACTGGTGCATGGCTCACTCATTTTGGGATGAAAAAATAAGGACTGCAATCCATCTTTTAAATAGGTTGCACAACTTTTAAATATGTTGTGCATCCTCCCAGAACTGTTTACCCATTTTAGAAATGGGTATGAAAATACCAATTTTTCATACCCAGAAGCGGAGACCCATTTGGAGGCTTTTTTTGGGCGGGGGGGTCAGTCAACATGACCCCTGGAGGAAGATTGGCTGACAAATCTGTTGCAGTTGCCCATTTCTCATTTCAACATTTTAAAAATTGTTGTTAATGCTCTGAGTGTGATATAGGAGAGCAATGTACAGTGTTGCAAAAAACCAAAACTGCTTATTGAGAAAAATCAGTCAACGAGAGGCTAACCAACATTATGTAGGCCATTTTTTATAAAGTAATAGTTGCAGAAAAGAGATATTCCCCCCCAAAAGAGCAGTATCGGCAGGTTATCCCCAGAGAATAAGTACTCAAACATGTATCTTTAAAGCTTCCCATGTTAGTTGCAGCAGACCTTGTTCTTCATTGAGAGTTTGTTGAGATGCCCAAGGAAAAGAAAGCTTTGATTGACATCTGGATTGTTAACACAACAAGATAGGAGCCTGCAAGTGCAGACGCAGGGTTCCCCCCTCCTTTCTAACACTTGCACACAGTTTTTTCCTCTTTTTTTGATGTGAGCCTGTTTTCAATCCCTTAACTTGAGATAATTCAAGTGAGCACTTAGCAGAACATGGCAGTGCATATTTTAGGCACACAGAATATTCCCTTGGCAGGCTGGCAGTTTTCTCTCTCTGCCCTCCCTACCACCTTTCCTCAAAGAATTGAATGAAATTCAGTCTTAAGATGAAACTATCGGAAAATGGGAGATTTCCTCACATTGATTTTTTTAAAATGCATGGGAGGTCTCAGACATTGAAGTTAAGAGTTCCCGCAGCAGCTGTGACTTTGCCCTCTTGTGCATATTCTGTGTCATTGTAGGGCTTGTACCTCCTATTAAATTTATGCCCTTTGTTATATGGTTGGTGTAATACCTAATAGAGACATACATAAAACTCATTTTGGAAAAGAATCTGGCTTAAAAATATTATATGTATAAGGTTAACTTCAGGCTATGTGTATATGGTGTATGTGAAACATAAAGGAATGTTGTGTTTAGACTTGAGTCCCATCTCCAAGATATCTCATGAAGTACAGCTGTCTCTCTGTATCCATTCTTTATCCATGGATTCAACCATCCATAGCTTGAAAATATTCAAAGCAATATATAAATTCCCAAAAGCAAACCTTGATTTTTCCCATTTTATATAAGGGACACCATTTTGCTATCCATTGTATTTGATGCGATTTGAACATTCATAGATTTTGGTATTGATAGGGAGGGTCCTGGAACCAAACCTCAACAGATATTGTATATGCAAATGTTCAAAAAACTGGGGGTGCAGGAAAATCCAAAACACTTCTGGTCCCAAGCATTTCATATAAGGGAGACCCAACCTTGAGTATTTTTTGTTTGCTTGTGTATAGTTGCACTTTTACTTCTATGCAACCAATATATTGCTATCAGATTCCCACAAGGGTTTAGCTTTTTTCCTGTCAAATCCAGGATGGGCATATATCTAGTTGCTCAATTTTTTTTATATATATATATTTTTTTGCTTTAACTTTTCATCAGGTAAAGAGATGGAACTACCCCCTTGCTTTTCCTTTCAGGCATGGCTGCATCTTACAAGAGGTTTTAAAGTGACATGAATGCAGCAGGGATGATGATGAATGGCAATCCATGGACTTGGGAGGGATGGTGTCTCTAGCGCTCACTTGCCCCCTATTTATCATCATTAATGACCTGTGAAGAGGAGTAAACAAGGCATTATATTTCTGCAAGATATTACTCAAGGAGGTGCCATCAAGAGAGGAAGAGATCAACATTCAGCAAAAAATGTATTTACTCACAACTGGGGGATGTGGACTAGAGGATTTTTCAGTGCTAGGGAAGTCTTGGGACTGTAGTTTTGTGAGACATTGAATAGTGTGTGTTAGACAGCTCTGGTGCCACAATGAACTACAATTCCCAGGATTCCCCAGCACTGAGTCAGGGCAGTTAAGGTGGTCTCAAACTGGATTATTTCTGTAGTGTGTTTTGGATCCTGGTCTATGAAAGCTATGTCCCGACTTCTTTTGCACAGTTAGTCTCAAAGGTGCTACAAGATCTTTTTGTATCAGTGCTATCAGTGATGGTCCCTCCTTGAATAATATCTTGCAGGGCAATGGAAAACTGTTGTCTACTTGTGAGCTGAAAATGTGACTCTTTGTGACCTGGATAGGTAAGTTCTAGATACTACCCTATTAATTAAAGAAG